GAGAAAAACGAAGCGGTCTTCCATGAGATTATTCACGAGGCTCTAGTGGGTGAGGCATCAGATGTTAACACGTACGTCTTTTCTTCTCGAAACCAAACAGTGGGCTAAACAAAAGTCAGTTGGGTATCTGAATTCGCAAGAGGAGATAAGCCAGGAGATTAGCGTCGTTTAGTGAATCAGCTCACCATAGTAGGTTTACAATTTTTCTCGGATGACACATGGGGCTGACACTATTTGATAGGCAGCCATTGAAACGGTACGGTAAATCAAGCCCTTCCATTCTTACTTCTTCTCATCATCCATCGTCATGATATGCTACGCTTACTCTACAGACATTCATTCTTGCTTGCATCCGTTATCCTGAATGGGTTGTGACTGCACAAAAGGAAATCGACGGTGTTGTAGGAATTGACCGGTTACCATCGTTCAGGGATCGACCATTTCTTCCTTATGTAGAAGCTATTGTACGAGGTAAATCCAGTCATTCTGCCTTCAAGTCCGTACTGACACTCGTGGATCTCAGAGACCCTTCGATGGTGCCCTTCAGGTATGTTGGACTGTCTTCTCGACCATACTGAATCTCACCTAGATTTGTACTTCGGTTCGGTTTCCCTCACATGTCTACAGCCGACGACGTGATTGAATATCAAGGACAAGGATATCACATTCCGAAAGGTAGTGTTATCTTTGCCTTCACATGGTAAGCGATTTCAAAAAACCATCCAGGCTACACAGTCAAGATTTGAGGACCACGACCGATTCATGCCTGAACGCTTCTTTGACGCTGAAGGAAAACTAAAGTCAAGCTACGACACACGTTTTTGGCTGTGGTCGGCGCAGTGAGTTTTCTACTCTGGAGCTCAAGGCGCACTGGCCTATGAATGAAAAACTTACTAGGCTGAGCATCATAGTTTGCCCAGGAATTTCACTCGCAGAGAGATATCTTTGGATCACTATCGCCACTATGCTTTGGACTTTTAACATCTATGGGTCTAAGGAACCATACGAAAATGGGACTTCCCTTCCTCTATGACGATAGTGATGCAGGTTTCAGTGGAGATGTTCGTATTGAGATCCAATTAGCGCCCCATAGTTCTAATGATGGATCTGTTTTTTTTTCAGCTTATGAGCGCACCCTTGAAGTTTCCGGCAGTTTTTGAGGCTCGTTCTCCGCAGCGAGCAGAAATTATCAGAAGGGAGTGGGCAGAATGTGAAAAGGATCTAAACATCTTTTTGTCTGTGCCCAAAGACAAGTGAAGTGTGTTGTTAATCCAGGTACCGCGTATTGTCAAAGATCAGACCTACGTGATATCCTTACTAGGACACTTGTACAAGCTTGATCAACCAACACCCATCTCAAAGCTGTATTATTATGAGTAATGTTCCATGATAGATTCCTGGGTCCATTGCATCAAAGGCCTGATGATGATAAAGCGACACAGGTTGTAATCAAAAACAATACAAATCGTTGGAAAAAACATTACCCTACTTAGTGTAGCACTTGCATGCAAGTTTAACAACTAAACTTCGATGCCAGTGATCATCACTGACTGCCATTCATCAAGGAAACCGACCTCCTCATTATCGGAACTATAGTCCAGAAGCTCGATAGTAATGAGGGCTAATTCACTCTTCGATCCAGTGCTTTATCTCCCGAAAAATGCTCGAACAACCTTTATGTATGTCTCGATGGACGAGAAGGTTGGCTTCATACCGGGCAAGACCCACCTACTATAGCTTATATCTCTTCAAAAGTTCAGGTTATATAGAGTGCTTGCAATTTGGTTGAGTCAGGGGTTCCCGAAAATTGGATATTTGACATTGTTTTTCCTTTCATTGTCAAGCCCGAATCCACCTTTGTATTTTCAAACTCCGCTCACCCGTCCCCGCTCATACACCAGCATGTCGACGCGTCCTGGCTCTAGCATAGCTCCCCTTGCGCCATCCGTGAACTCCAAGAAACGGAGCACTTCAGAAGCTTGTGCAGACATCGAAAATTCAAGATCTTTGAAGAAATCGAAAAGGGATGATGAGAACAAGGACAAAAAGAAGCGGCCCAGGAAGAGGAGAAGAAAGTCATCTGTTGTCACAGTTGTGGAGCCTGATATTCGTGCACGGTCGAAGTCTAGGAGTATGACAGTGCCAACACATGATACTGCGCAAGAGGAAGTCGATGTGACGCCTGAGAACGTGCTAGACGAAGAAGCGCAGCCTTCGCAGGATGTCAATCACGCCGAAGACATTGAAGACACGTCTCCTAGAATTGTGAGTCTTCGTTACTGCCCTTTTCATACACATTTTCTTATTACATGACACCTTCCAGCCATATGCAGACAAAGGAAAGGGAAAAGCAAAGCAAGAATCATTACCTCCCACTGTAGAATCCCCAGAAAGCCAAATAGCGCGATTGTATCAAGAACTCGAGGCTCAACGTGTGGTACGCCCAGAAAACTATCTTTTTGACCTTCTTATTCACTCTTTCGCGATTTCAGCTCCTCAGAGAGCACCAGTCCCATCTGACTCATGTTCACCAAGCGCTTACTTGCCAAATCTGCCTCGATCTATTGTATAAGCCTTTCGCCCTCGCGCCTTGTGGACATATCATCTGCTATCCTTGTCTTGTCCGGTGGTTTACAGCTCCGGAAGCGCCTGGCGAGCTCCACAGCCTCCAAGAAGAGATTCCGGGCCCTCCAGAAACTTCGCACTGTCATAAGAAAAAGAAATGCCCCGTATGCCGCACATACATCATCGAGCGTCCTGTCGAGGTTTGGGGCGTCAAGAGCATGGTCACCGGGCTTGTACGTAGTGGGCTGGTCGAATTGCCCGCGCCGCCACCCGCTCTCGAGCCTGAGGCTTCAACATCAACCAACGATGATCCGTGGCGTAATATCTTCCGACGCCCAAATCGTTTTTTTATAGATGTCTTGGAGCCGCGTCCACCGCGTCCACCACGACCCGGTGGTGAGGGGCTTGAAGAAATGGGCATGTACGACGCAGACGACGGCGGTATCTATAGGTGTATCGATTGTATGCACGAAATTTGGCGTGGGGTGTGTACTCATTGTCATCGAGAATACCCTGGACACCAAGCTAGTGAAGATGACGAGGATGATGAGGATCTGGAGTTCGATGCAGGTGGGGAGTTTCGCGATATTCTGCATCTGTTCGCAAATGCGCCGAACGCGTATTTTGATGATTATGGGGCAAACATGAACTCGGACTCCGAGGCTTCGGCTGGATTCATTTTCGGTGAAGAGATTGACGACGAGGAAGATGAGGAAGATGATGTGTATGATCTTGTGCAGATACCCAGAGCTCGGAATTCGGCGCACCCTGGTGCACCGAGGACGCTTGGTCCCATATATCGTCATCCGTTTGATGATTTTTTCCCTATTGGTCACCCTCAGGAGGAAAGAGGAAATGTACATATTGACGAAGTTCAGGTGGAGGAAAGTGGGGATGAATCTGACGAGTACGAGGGCAGCTTCATTGACGACTTCGAAGCACCACCTTCAGCACCGTCTCCCGAACGATTACCTCGTTCA